TTATGAAAGTTTGATAACTAAATAGAATAAAATAATTAATGGGTTTACCCAAAATTAACTAGATTAATCTGTCAAATCAAGTTAACCTGTCAAACCGGGATATGTGTCATGAAAGTCTGATAATTAAATATAAAGAAATTTAACATTAACAAACTAAACTAAATGAAAAAATTAATTAAAAAAAAAAAATTCAGGTTAACTCGTCAAATCAGACTAACCCATCAAACCTGGGATCAAACAAAAAATTTCATGAAAAGAAAAACAAAAAAAATAATTAAAAAACAAACAATTTAGCATTTCATTATATAATATAATATAATATAATATAATATAATAATAATAATTATAATATAATAATTATAATAATATAATATATTAAAGATGGGAAAGTGATTATAATATAATATAATATAATTATAATTATAATATAATATAATATAATAATTATAATAATATAATATATTAAAAATAAAAAGGTGAAAGGTGTGGGAAAGCTATAGTGGTTTCCCACATCTTTTATTATATTAATAATAATAATAATAATAATGTTTTAAAATATTTTATATTTAAAAATATATTTTATATTTTTTAAAAATTAATTTTAAAATCAGTATATTAAAATAATAAAAAACATATAAAATTTAATTTTAAATAAAAAATTTAAAAATTTAAAAATTATTTTTTAATTTCATTCTCAAACACTACTATTACTAAGAAGCTCTGCATAACACTGTGCAGAAAACTTTCCAGTTATGATCTAATATCAATATATTCTTTTCCTCTAACATGCTGGGTTTTTAAAAGAAATGTTTAGGGGTATAATTAAAATTAGTTTTTAATATGTTTTTTATTTAAAAATATATTAAAATAATTTTATTTTTTAATTTTTTTAATATTAATATATCAAAATAAAAGAACTAAAAACATCTCCAGCGTAACCCAGTTAAAATTAAAAAACATTGTCTTTTTAATATTAATAGCAATACTTCAAAACCCAGCGCATTTTTTCGCCATCATCTCCACCGTCTAATCAACTGACTTTCAAAACTCAGAAGTAAAACGCAACGGCCTTTAAAAAATAACAAACGTTAAACAAGCAGTAACAACAACGTTTTCTCACAATCCCCAAACCAGAGGATCCAACCCCGCCCCAGCCCACGCCCCAAAACCACCACGCCACCCCGATCTCGAAGAAGATCCATAAAACATAGTTTTCTCGTCAATAATAAAAAAACTACAAGAAATATGTTTTAATTCGTTGTTTAATTTTTTGGAGAAAGAATAGAGTGACCAAACCCTAGTGTCATGATCAGATGCTTTAAGGTTTACAGTAATCGAAGGCAAGACCAGCATGATCAACTCCAGCAACGGCATGATTTCAACGTCATCGACGTCGGCGAACACGCAATCACCGGGATTAAAGACATATTTTAAAACCCCAGAAGGACGTTATAAGCTTCACAATGAAAAGACGCATCCTTCTGGTCTCCTTCACTATGCCCATGGAAAAACTGTTACTCAGGTTTTCTCTTTTCTATCTATTCCATTTCATTTTTGAGTTCTTAGTTTTGGGATTGCCCATTTCGTTAAAAACTGAATATTTTAAGAATATTTGTTTTTTGGTTTTTGGCTCACTAATTTAATAATTTTTTGTCATTACATTTGTTGAATGGTTTATCTTATCTTGTTTTATCATTAATAATTCATTAATTTCAAGGGTTTTTATCAACACCGTAATATGCTTATTAGAATCAACATGTACATGTTTATCCGCAAAATTTGATATTCTATCGTCAGTGTTAGAGGCATCTTTTAGTTAATTTGATAATGCCTAGCTGTATATTTTATAGACGTCTCAATTTTAGTTTTTGAAAAGAAATTTGATTAACAGGTAACCCTAGCTATTATCAAGGACAAGCCTGCCCCATCAACACCGACAGCCCCACCTTCAGGTTTCAGTACAGGCAGTGGTGTACGATCAGCTGCTGCTAGGTTGTTGGGTGCTAGCAATGGAACCCGTGCGCTTAGCTTTGTTGGAGGGAATGGGGGGAGTAAAAGTATTAGTAGTAGTAGTAGTAGTAGGATTGGATCGCTGGGGACATCATGCTCAAGTAATTCCATGATCAATTCAAATTTTGATGGGAAAGGGACTTACTTGATCTTCAATGTAGGGGATGCCATCTTTATAACTGATTTAAATTCTCAAGATAAGGTAACTTTATATTTTTAGTTGGTATTTTTTAATGGAAACAACGGGGAGGCATTTAAGAGGTTCTTTGTTTGAATATAGGAGGACCCAATAAAATCGATCCATTTTAGTAATTCAAATCCTGTGTGCCATGCCTTTGATCAAGATGCTAAGGATGGACATGATTTGCTTATTGGATTGAGTTCTGGGGATGGTAAAATCTTAACTCGAGGTTGGATTGCATTTCTTTTTCTTTGTTGAAAATTTAAGCTTTCTGATTTTAGTGGCTATATTTTTCTTATTGCAGTCTACTCAGTGTCACTGAGACAGCAATTACAGGATGGTGGAAAAAAGCTAGTTGGGGCCCATCATTATAACAAAGATGGTTCTGTTAATAATAGGCAAGAATATCTATAGTGCCTTCATAGTTCGACCATTTCTTTATCATGCATGCTTGTACATCCAGGCTGTCTTATTGTCTTATTTAACTGATGATCTTCTTGTTAAAATATCACATATGCATACATAACTTCAACGAGCTGTGTGAATCAGTGTGACTTGATCATAATGCAAGTTACAAAGTAAGGTTGCTTAAGGAACAGTTTTATAATTATCATTTCATAATTTACTTTTGAATATTTATGACTCATGAATCATCAAAATATCGAAGATAGGGTGCACACAAAGGAAAATAGTTTGGGCAAAGATACTCTTTTGTTTTCATTATGTTGTATAGGCATGATTATTCTCAACATCCTGGATATATTTTGGATCAAGGTTATACTGGTGGGGGATGATTTGATTGCGAAGTAAGAAAATGAAGTGAGGTTTTTTAATTAGCCATGTTTATCAGTTCTTTCATCTTTCATCCTTCAAGAGTAATTATGATCACCTAGGAAATTGGGAAAGTTTCCATTGGATGGATTCTGGGCTGTTATCAGAATGCACCACTGAGTGACATAGCACATATTTGAATTTGTAGTCTACCAAGTCTTTTTAAATGGTTTATGGATTGGAAAATTAGAGATTCAAGGGTTTAGGTTCTAGGATTACAGTTTATATGGTTTTTAAATGGAGTTGGGGATGAATGGGAAGGGCAGCTAGGGTGGGATTTCTAGAAATCATCCCTGTAAATCTTCAAAGCATAAGATACCCTTGCATTGTAGAGTCAAACTAAAATGCATAAAAAGTTATTTGTTTTTGTTGCCTGCATGACCGGGTGCTGCCAATGCTATTCCCTGTGAAATCAATTATAAAATGGACCTTGAAATGATGTCCAAGTACTTGTATTGTGTGGGTAACCTTTTTCTAACAGCGCAGAAGTTTCTTTAGGCTACAAATAGAAAAGCTTTCAAGCAATCCATGCCATATAAACTCAAAATGGTTTGTTGATCTTGCTTGATATCTTCTAGGAACTCTGAAATCTTGGTTCCCCTTTTAGGAATTAAAAGAACAAAAATCCCCTGAGTGGAAATGTTGGATAAAAAAATCATTTAGTTAACATATATATAAATATGTATGTATACACATTGCACTTATGATAATTGAGTATTATGTACAAAACCAATTTAATTAATGCTGCTTATTTTCAACAGTCGTTGTATGAGTATTGCATGGGTTCCTGGAGGAGATGGTGCTTTTGTTGTTGCACATGCTGATGGTAATTTGTATGTCTATGAAAAGGTAGGCCTCGAACATGAAAAGGATTACATTGTCCTGTCTTCCCAAAATTTCGTAGTTCAAGATGTTTCAAGAGATCTTAATATCTATTCTATTACTTTTCTTTTCCTCTAGAGCAAGGATGTTGCTGGTGATTCTTCATTCCCTGTTATCAAAGATCCAACTCAATTCTCTGTTTCACATGCCCGCTACAGTAAGGTAGAAGAGTTTGTCTTGTTGGAATTAAAGCTATGTAATAGTCTTACTTTGATTGATGCTTCATAAACGGAGTTTCTAATGGTGCAAGCAACTTTTAACTAGGAATTATTTTTAAAATCAGCAAGCTATGATGGTAATGGACACCATGTATCTATTACTTCTCCCTTTATTAGGTAGCTCCTCAATAAATACCATAGCCAAGTATTGCTCAAATGTCCATGAGACATGAAACCATTTTGCATTTTGTTCCCAAGGTAAGGTCGATGTAATACATAGAAGTGTAGAGATGTGCACCTGACACTATGATTGAGGTTTTAAATCTTTCTGCAACATTATGTCCTGGTTGTTTAGGTTCATTCTTTTAGTCAATAATTACTCTCTTCCATGATTGTTGGAGACTTTATCTGGCAACTCAGTTTTAACTCTTGTATTGTTCTAACTGTTGTGTGGAAAGCAGTGGCTTCACTGGACACTGATCATCTCACTCTACAACTATAATCAATATAGTGAATGCTGTTGTTTTCTTCGTGTACATGGCGGGTCATGTGGTTGACTGCTGGGACAATTCTTCACAGTCAACCCTGCTGCTTAACAATTAGTGTTGATTGGTTAATTGTCATCATATGTATCTTGGAATACATGTATTTGTGCGTGTTTGTGTGTAAATTTGCGTGTGCTCATGTTTTTGTGGGTATTATTAACTTATGCCTGCCATTGTTGCTTTGTTCAGGTGTTAAACAAATTGGATTCATGGATGCAGTTGTAGTATAAAGTAATATAAAGAGTAAACTATACTTATGCCCATATAGATTCATCAATGTTCTCTGTCCATATAGTTAAAAATTTCTCAATATCACCCCTCTGGTTTTCATGAAGTTCCCTGTGGTAAACCCTCCTTTAAAGTTATATTTGACTTTTTAAAGGTTTCTTTTAAGTATTTTTGTGAGATAGTATCACACATATTGGGATTTGAGAGGAAAGGATGAGAGAGAAGTGAAATAAGAAAGAGAAGACTGTAAAATTGAGCCTTCCATTAAATTCTGATAGCTATTTAATGGTCAGGGTCAGTATTGAAACTTTTTGGATACTACAAGGGTAACATTGGAGTTTTAAAGTTAAGTTTACCGTTGTATAAAGTATAGTTGAAACAATGTGAATTAAATAATCCAAGATTTTAGGTTTGTTAATTGCTTTAGAACATGCCTATTTGGTTACTCTAAATGTAAGAAGCATGCAGGATAGGTTCCTAACATCTCGGGACTTAACCCAACTGATGTTTGCAGCAATTATATTGTGCCAATGGAGAGATCAGTGAAGCAGGGCTCTGTCGCTCAACCTCATTTGTAGTTTTTCCAATTTCCCATGCCTACTTGTGTTTATCTTGGTTTATTATTTAGATGGTGTCCATTTGTGCTTAACTGCTTTTGTTAGATTTGTATGTCCATTCCTCATTTCCTATTCTTCAAATCTCCCATCAAAGGCTTTCATCCTGCTCTAGTGATAGATTAGTTTTCTCCTTATATCTTGATTTATATACTTATCCAACTAAATATGCAGTTCTTTCCATGACTCCTACAAACTGCATGCAGAGTAACCCAATTGCCAGATGGCATATTTGCCAAGGTTCAATCAATGGCATTGCTTTCTCAACTGACGGGACCTATTTAGCAACTGTTGGAAGAGATGGTATAACACTGTACATATCGTTGCATCTAGTATTTTTTTTTATTTTTTATGTGTTGGTAGGTAGTGTAATTGATCTTAGTGTTTTGCTAGTGCAGGTTACTTGCGAGTCTTTGACTATTCAAAAGAACAACTTATATGTGGTGGGAAAAGTTATTATGGTGCTCTACTATGTTGTGCTTGGAGGTGACTAGCTTTACCAGTTTTCAAGTCATAATTTATTGCTATCTTTTGAAAATTCTCTCTCAATATTTTGAACTTGTTGTACACACGGGAAAAGGGCCGTTACTTTGAGCTGATATAGCCTAAGACCCTTTTACATTCAACCTTCAATTCTTTGTTTTCTGTTGGTCTTTTGCATTTGAAATATTTATAGTCTTCAAGAAAACTGATGATGAAAAGTGTCACCCTCTCAGCATGGATGCAAAATATATTTTGACTGGAGGAGAAGATGACCTAGTTCAAGTTTGGAGTATGGAAGATCGGAAGGTTGTTGCGTGGGGTGAAGGACACAATTCATGGGTAAGATTCTCAAATCATCATGGTTGATTGTCAATTACATGATTCTGGTCATCTTATACCATTCTTATCTGATGGTGCTGGCAGGTAAGTGGAGTGGCTTTTGATTCATATTGGTCATCACCAAACTCAGATGGCACAGGGGAGAATGTTGTGTACCGGTTTGGTTCTGTTGGTCAGGTATGGTATACAGTTTTGTTGCAGTTCATGGGTGACTTGTTCCACAGCTAGCTAAAAGCAGTTTTAAGTTCCAGGGCAGATGGTGCTCATAGGAATTGAATATGATATCCAAAAAACTAATATCTGGGTGCTGAGCATGATATATCACTTTGGTTTAAGTTAATATTGTAATGGAGGTGCCCAAGATTTTTAAATCCTGGGAGGGTGCTTTCAAACAGTCATGGTTCTAAATAAGCAATAAGATGAATATTTTGTATTTTAGCTCTAGGAAAACTGCAGAAATAGGGGAGCATTAATATTGACGGAAAAAACATATCGATTGCTATAAATAAAAGCACAAACCATGTAAAACATTAATTCGATGAACATGCCTTGCTTATTGTCTTTTAATAACTACTATTGCTTTTATTAATTTTTAATTACTACTTTTTGGCATTCTACCTCAATACAAATTCTAGTAGATGTATAAATCTTACGTAAACTCGGTGCCATCATGTATGTTAATCTCATTTCCATGTAACATTTTACTCAAAGGGGGAGACAGAAACTCGATTCTAAGTTTAGTCAAATTGCTGTTGAGTCCTGAGAGGCACATTATTATTATTATTATTATTATTATTTTATTTATTTTTTATTATTTTATTTTATTTTGTACAAGAGGCTTGTATTTGGGAGTGGTGATTCGGGGTGGTGGTACACCAATCCCAAAACATCAACAATGATGTGTGTGTGTTTTTCCATACAGACCAAACACCAAACAATTATTTTCAAGTAGTTTTTATCTACAGAGCCAAACAATGAAAAATAATGTATATTCTAGGAATATATTTTGAAAAAACATGTTTTTTTTTCAAGAAATGGAGCATTAGAGTTTCAATAAGATGATATTTTCCATATTGTGTGGTTGGGCAGTGGGCCTTCACTTTTCTCTAAAAAGATGGCAAATAAACAAAAATATGTATTTTAATCTTTGATGACTTTTTTTTATGATTATATTTAGTTTTGCAACATGCATGATACATTTAATTGTAATATTTTTGTGCCACTTGTACAGCACACATGCATAGAACCTGGTTAATAGAAGAGTGTAGGGAGTTGTTTAAAGACTACTTGATCAGATTACAAGGTTGAGTTATTGTGATTATTCTTGTTTGCAAACAAAAAATAATTTAAGTGTAATTTTAACTGCTGGCGCAGCTTAAAACCGTTCTAATTGTATATTTTAGCTCGAAGGGATCAACACTTCCAAGGAGAAGTGAAAAAGATGAGCATTTGAGATAAAAAAAATTGAAGTATGCCCTAACTCTTTCTCCATGACCTTCTTAGGAACTCCAGTCAAAATACATACTAACATGGCGATACATTTATTAGTCCCTTCCTTTCACAGTAAGAAGAGGAACACAACTTACTCACCAAGAATATTAATGATTCATATAAATCACTTATTGGTAGAAGCCCCAAATGGTGCAATCTGGCATACCCTTTGCATGATGGGTGAGCGTGGTTCAAGTCTTCATTGATCAATGGATCTATAAGCCTATTAATGAAGCAAATTCAATGAAGCAACAACTGGGGAATTCATGTTCTCATCATCTTTGGTAAAACCAAGTCTACCGCGTAGACATTCATAAATGGCTTTTGTATATTCGCAATGTATTGGACCTCTTTCTGTGTTTATTTTTCAAACACCAGTATTAGAAGCTGGTTGAGGTACTTTTGGTAGAGTGAAAACGAATGCCTGCAGCAGTTAATAACATGCGGTATGAGTTAAAACTGACTTTGGCGAGTGACTTGATGAGTTTGAGGTGTGATATGTATGGTCTTCTATAACTTTCCTTCTCTAGTTTTTCCCAGTTTTTCGACTGCTTTAAAGGCTTCTTAAGTAACCATGTTGCAACTTGTTTGTTCTGTCAACAGGACACACAGTTACTTTTATGGGATCTGGAAATGGATGAGATTGTAGTGCCATTACGTAGGTGCCCCCCTTCTGGTGGATCTCCTACTTTCAGCACTGGAAGTCAGTCTTCCCACTGGGACAGTGTTATCCCAGTTGGAACTCTGCAACCTGCTCCTAGCATGCGTGATGTTCCAAAGCTTTCTCCTGTAGTGGCTCACCGTGTTCACACGGATCCTCTTTCTGGTTTAGTGTTTACGCAGGAATGTGTTCTTACTGTTTGTAGAGAGGGCCATGTAAAAATCTGGATGAGACCTGGAGCCTCAGATAGCCAGTCAGGCAACTCGGAAACCATCTCAAGTACCAGTTTGAAGGAGAAGCCATTATTGTCAAGCAAGATTGGCAGTTCTACATATAAGCAATGACCAAATTGTCATGAGATTCCAAGGCAAAATGGATCTCTTCTTCATTGATTTAATTTGAAATTGCTGGTATGGCTGCCCATCCCAATTCCACAGTTGTTTTTCTCAGAGTTAGAGCTGGATGAATGTTCTGATTGCTGGAGGATTCATCAACTGGGTCCATTTGTGCATTGAGAGATAAAATGCCATTTATGGCACTAAGAGCTCAGGAGGGAGAGAACCCCCTATGTAAGTACAAAACAGTTGTTGCTAGGATATATCTTATATAATATTTAATTTCTGACAGAAATAATTTGAAGTTACTCTTTGAGATTTACATTTCAGAGGTGCATAGGAGTTCATTTGATTCTGCTGGTAATGAAATTTCACAATAGCTATATAATTTTTGCCGGATATCATGAAGCTCTCTCACATGTGATAAGCTTTTCATGTTATGGTTATGAGGTATTTATTTCTCTTGGATGTATCCTTGATTTGGAAGAAAAATTATTCTTTTGTTTAGTACTAGATATGGGTTATGACACTGAAGTTATGCTGAGGAACACTGAACTATGGGAGACTAGTGCTGTATTTGTATTCATTTTGTTTTATGCTGGCAAACAGGGGGAACTACACTATACCGTGTTAGAAGATTTTTCCTTGTGATTTTTCCATGGTCTTGTCCCCTGTATTTCCCTTTTCTGTTTTGCTACCAATCCACCTGGGAGGTTTTCCTGTTCGAATCTCTCTATGGAAGACTTGGCCTTGCCAAGACCCCATATTTTAAGGTGGTAATATAGCCCCTTCAATTCTGTGGTGGTCAAATTGGTACCAAACACACTACCAACACAGCATTAATTTCTGTTGTTGATGCGTGCCATTAATGAATTGAAGAGGAAACAGAGAAGAAAAAAAGGCCGAAGATAGGAGAGGAGAAAGGCATGCAGCTTGCAAAAGCGTTGTTTTTCAATTAATTATCAAAAGTGTTAATCTCATAAAAATATAGTTAAATAGTTTAAAACAGATAATACAAGAAGTCTGAAATAGAATAAAATGATTTCCAATTACAAAATTAAATGGAAGTTTTATAAAATAGACTTGTATGTGTTCTTAGATGTGTTTAATCTCTTCATCAAATAGTGAAGAGCTAAGTTATTCTGTTTTCTTCTTTGAACGTACACATGTAACTTGTGACGTAGATTTGGTTTGGTGTCTTTATCAACTTTCTTGAAGTTGAAACAACTCGATCTCATCGAGTATATCTCCTGAGAACTGCAGTAATTTATCATGGATTAGAATCAATTTGTTGCAATATATCTCAAGTAATTTAAGTGTAGTTTAAATTAGGTTGCCCGACTTACTGAACTAAGAAATGCCGTGCCTTGTCATTCTTGGTGAAACATAATTTGTCATCCAAAATAGTATCAATATGTCTCCTTTATGTTGATGTCTCTTTTACGTTGATAAGAAGTGTAATTAGATAGAGTTCTTACTTAAGGTTGTCGGTTGTCAATTCGGTTGGCATTTGCTTTTGTTTTTGTTTTTTCTCAGAACAATAAATTTTAATTCTGGAGTATCCAAAATATGAATTGCAACTGGATGACAAAAAACAACTTCATATTATTTTATAACATTTATATTTGCTTAGAGACTAGAGACTATTGAAGAGGCAAGGCTGTTAATTACCATCTTTGCAAGATATGGTGTTTATTGACCTTGGTCCTTTGATGAACTTTTCGAGATTATCGGATTCATTGATGAGATGAGATCGGACGCTAGTTTTCCAGTTTTTATATCTTACAATTGAAGACAGATGATCCTCTTGCCTCTTCCTCGCCTACTCTCTAGAAAGAGAGACGTAGGAGGTAAGGACAAGCAAGATGGTACAAAGACTGACAAATTAGGGCGCGAGGGGAGATTTAGGGATGGTTCAATTTTTAAGAAAGCTTTGAGAATTTCACAACTTACAGATATTTTCTCCTTGTTCACATTCAAATTAAAAAATCATGGTTGTGACATTTTTTGTGCAAAGAAATTTTAATGGCTTTATGTACTTTGTTCCCTCTCGTGTTTTTGAAATGTTGTAATCTTTAGTAGAATACAATTAAACATATTTTTAGTCATGGTGCGCGTAAGTTAACCCGGACATTCATGTTTCCCTCTCGTGTTTTTGAAATGTTGTAACCTTCGGTAGAATACAATTAAACATATTTTTAGTTGTGGTTTGCGCAAGTAACCCGGATATTCACATTAATCTAAAAAAAAAAAAACATACTTTTAGTTCAGTTACTCTTGGCGCCTGCTAAAGTGAAGCATCATTTAATGTTACCTTAATGCATTAGTGATCAATAGTTATATGTGAAACCACCATTGCAATTTTCATTAAAGATTTGATTTTCTTTGTCTCTTACTCTGCTCATAAAAATTGTGCTTCTTTTTTTTCTCAACTTACTAGACAAACAACTAATCTTTCTAACTAGATGGCTCTTAAGGTATGTTCTTGCATATCGATACTACATGGAATTATTTTGTATCTTTTATCCCGATGGTGTTTCCTTCTCTGTAGCTCATACAAGCTTTAATGCAAAAGGGTGCTAGCTCTATAACTTTTATAAGCACCAAACAACATGGACATAATGAAACCAAAAAATCTTGATTGGAATTTGACTAAGAAATTCAGAATAATCTAAGCAAGATAAAATTAGTTCCATTTTATTTTGTTCTTTTGAAATTGTATAAGATATACCGGTTATTCTAGCCGAAATGAAACAAAATTGACAAGCTAGTCTTAATAGAGTTCTTGTGAATGAGATTGGGTGAGGGGAGTATTAAAAAGATTATCTTTGACTTGTTGTTTTCTATTATATTTAACTAGATCTTATATATTAAAAGTAAACTAATACCAAATTTAGATGGTATGTCAATAACATAAGCATTTAATCTAGTCCTTGGTAACATTTTGTATGGTTCAACACCACACACTTGTAATTTTTTATTGGTTTTAGGATGATACCATTCATGTCTAATCTGTAACATAACATAATCTCCAACATTAAATGTATTGTGATGTTTATGTAAATTAGCTTGATGTTTGTATTAGATATTATTTTTTAAAATTTATTTTGTGATCTCAACGTGCAAATCATAAACTGTATGATGCAAAATTGTCTCTTAGATTGCTAATTTGAGATTTTAAAGAAATTTTACAACTTGAGTTAACAAGAACCTTACTTTGAAGAACCAAAGTTATATGAAATTGATCACCCCCACCTTATGCCTATAATGAGACATGAACGAGAAGTATGAATTACAACAAAGTTGATCAATCCTTCAAAGAGTTTATAAGTTCAATCGAGAACTTAGTAATAGAATCACTTAGCTATGCAAAGAAAAATAAGCAAACAATATGCAATAACTTGTAGATAAAATTCATCAATCTCAAAATAATATTAACAATTGGTTTATAAAGTAGAAAGTTAACTCTAATATGACTTAATGAATCCAAACTTGATAAATAGATCTTAATACATTAAAAGCCTAAAATAATCAAAATAACAAAATAAAACCTAACTCAAATAATCTTTAAATGCTTTAGGCCCTATAATAAACTAAAATATAAATAAATAGTAGCCTAACTAATTAAAAAAAGTCCAAAATCAAATTTCATAATTTACAAGTAGAATTGAGGCTCAATTTTAAATGAATGGTTATGTCTCATCTTGATGAGTTAGAAGGTCTACCATATGTCATTGAAAAAGTGTGAATGTATACTTTCCAATGCAACTAAAATCACATCAAAATACATTCTATAGATCTAATTATGGCCAAAATAATAGTGAAAGGTCAAAACTAACAAGTTTGAAAATAAATTAAACAAATCAAGGTTTGTTTAATCAACTAGAATCTTCTTATTCCAATCTTTTTGTAATGTTTAAAAGCTCCCCTACAAGCCCTTCTTGAAAATAAATTAAATTAATCAAGGTTTGTTCTTCGTTCTTTGATCTCGAAGTCCACCTTAGCTTATGTATCTTGAAGAAGTCAATTAATTACCTTCTCCTCTTTTCTCTAAGTCTTGTGATTGGATCCAATGGAGCCTCTAAGGATCTCTTGGTGTTGAGGCTAGGATTGCATCACTCTATGTGCAAAACACTCATCTGACTCAAACACCCTAGCATTAGAGAACATGAGAAAAAGGTTTACATGATTTTTAGGTTTGTAATCATGAACAACTTTAAATGGACTAAAAAACCTATTGATTTAGTAATTATTGATAAACTAAGCTGTAAAAAGAATCAAATTCCATTTTTGATTATATTCAATCATTATACATCTTAAAAGATTACCTAAGTTTCTACTGGTGACCTTGGTTTGGCTATTTGCTTAGAAGTGATGGGTGCTAGAAAGTTTCAACCCAACTATATGCCAAGAGATTTTTCAAAAAATAACTCATAAATTGCACATTTTTATTTGATATTATGGTCTTAAAGAGGCTATATAACTTAAAGATCTCATCAAAATAAAGTTTAATAACTCCAAAGGCATATGTGATTTTAGTATAAGGTATGGGATGATCTTTCAACCTTTAAAAGTAAAAGAAAATCATTTGATTGATAAAAAATGGTGATATTTAGATCATAAAGTCATGATCTACCTAAAATAACATGTTCTTATATCCATTGGAATCACATCATACTAGATCTTATCATGGTAGTCTAGGAATTTAATAGGAAACACATATCTCTCATTAATTGCTATGAAAGTGTTATCAATCCATGACATACTTACTATATGGTTTAGGGTGAGGAATACACTTTAGGCCTATGAAAGCTGTCTGACAGGACCAAAAGATTGATATCTTCTCCCAAGTGCAGGAGTGTCGAAGTAATAAATAACTTGGCAAGAC